GAAAGAGAGAGAGAGAGAGAGTCGGGGAGGTCGAGGCGGTGGGAATGTACTGTAGCTCCGGCGGGGAAGAGCGAAGGTTGTCCGGCCAATGTCTCAGTTTTCCCTCCCTTCCCACTGAACCAGAGCCCCTCTCCGCCTCCACACAGACGGACCCCGCGTCCGGAGCGTCTGACGGCGGCTGCGGGAAAGGACTGAACACGGAGCTAAACTGGAGCTCCACTGCAGTGTTACAGTTACTCATGTAACGAAGATGTCCAATGGTAAGTACACTGCCTCTGTTAAAGCTTTTTCCCCCCCTTCCCGCGGCTGTGTTGGGCAACTGCTCTGCACAATGTTAATTTGTTGCAGGCCGGGCTAAGCACAAACGCAGTAAGAGGATACAGCAGTCGGAAAAAAAAAAATAAAAAAATGCCAACAGCTGACTTGTACTCCAGTGATGTGCTGTGATGATTGCGGCGGCGTTGAACTGTTCTGCAGGACTGTACACACTGAGCACTGCTCCTTATGCAGGGGGCAATTCATTTACACTTCTCCATACGTGACGCCACGATTTAAGAGGGCAACATCATGCTTTTAACAGTTTGCATGTTGGCACCACAGCGTTGTTTCCACCAGTTTTCTCTCGTCCAGTGACCCTGTTTGGAGTCTTAACATAATGACGTACACGTTTATATTGAGGGAGACAGGCCCCAGTGTGTGAGCCTGTGTAAAAGCCTCGTTATCACTGTGCATTAGTCCCTGTGAGCTGCACATCCCTGGGATATCAGGAGATCCAAGGCTGAAGTTGCCCGACGGAATGTTTTACTCCTGATAAGTTGGTAAAGGCGGCGATGTGTGTCGAGCTGCACTTTTCTCTCTGCAGCCCACAGACTCCAGGCTGACTTCAGGCTACCCAGTCGTGTAGAGTCTCCATGTGTGAGTGTGTGGGTTTTTATTTTTTTCCCCCCAAGAGGCTTCATTTGAACGCGGAGAGCCGTCGACTTCGCCTGTAGGCTGCTTGGAGCGTCCTGTTATATAATGCGCTTCGGCCGACTGCCCGCATCCAAACAGCCTGGGCCTACACGTGTAATTGCTAAACATGTTTTATTTTTTATTTCTTTTAAAAACATCAGGCCTGTGTTAGCCACGGTGGCAGGAGGGCTGCTGGTCAGTGTCATGTGGAGGAAAAGCACAAGATGTTGTTGGTCTGTACTGAAATGTAAGTGAAAGCGTCACCATCTTCATCATGTGCAATGCATGCAGGGCGACTGAGCCCCTGTGTGACACAGATTATATTTATATACTATGGCAGATTCATGCATTTGGGGCTACAGATTGTATTACGTAAGAGCTGCGTGCCGCTGTCTGACCTGTGTGTAAGTGTATCAAAGGTGAGTGGAGGACTAAAGGTCATTCCTGCAGGAAACCTGTTAGCGCCGAGCAGACAGTTAACCGACCACATATTTGCATGATCCCAGAGTGGGGTAATATGTTAAATTGATATATAAGATACCAGGATGATGTAGTTTATGTTGGATGGGATTTCTTCTTATTAGATTATTGCAAAAAGAAGTTTGATTAATTATAGATATCGAGGAAAATGTTTCCCAAGCTGGAAAACACTTCTAAGGGTGTTGTCTTTAATAAAAAAAAAAAGTATTTTAGACACAGGAACCACAATGTGTTTCTGACCACTCTTTCAGTTAGATTGTGTGGTGGTTGAGCAACTCAACTACAAACTGCTGTTGATTGTAAACATGGCCATGTGTGCAGTTCATGTGCGCTCTTCCCACTGTTTGTCTCAGCTTAGTCCGCCTGGCAGAGATTTGCTTATTAAGTTTAGAGGTTAGCAGTGTCCTTGACATGTGCTGCCAGAAGCCAGCTATAGTGAGTCATCAAAGCTAATGGGGGAAGCATGGACAATTTAATCTGGACTGGAGAGCTCTTGATCTCTGATGGTGCCCACTCAGTGGGCCTTTGTTGTCAAATAGAGCACACCCATCCCTGCCCACTCAAGATGTTAGGGGCAGATTTCAGTGATAGAGTGTAGCAAAGTGCTATCCACCGAGAACAGTTGTTAGTCTCCTCTAAAAGCCCACTATGGTAAATGTTCAAAAATTCCAGCAATCAGTGGAGAGTTTGTTGAAATGGGACTGTGTTTGACTTTACGGTTTGATGACAAAATTGACCAGTGGCACCTGCTGCATGAGGCAATAATTGGAGGAGATTTTGCTGTCACAATCCAGTGTTTTGCAAACAAAACAGCAAATCATTTCCATGGAAATGCTGTCCCGGTCTGGTGGGAGAAGGTGATGAGAGAGAGTGGAACAGACAAGCCATTTACTAGATATTATTTTCTGTCTCCGCTATTGATTGTCAAACTTTCTGCCAGAGAATCATACACAAAGGCACACACACACACATACATAAACACAGCAGACCCATCAACAAATGCAGCGTGACAAATGTGGTTTTTTTTTTCTTTCTTGTATGTATCCATAATGATCTTGATCTGCAGGCGATATGTCCTCAAGGTGTTGTTTGCCCAACCACATCATTTGTATCGTTTGTCTTTACAGGAAAACAGGTGGTCTATAGAGGCACTAGGTGGTGTACAGGGCTGACGTGCTGACTGTTTCTACAAAGAAGGACAACTCAAACGCAGACACACCTCTGATGCCTCTGGCCAGTCTGAGCTCATGGTGTGTGCTTGCTGGGATAAACTAGTGGCCTGGCCAAAGAGCGCAGTGTTGCTACACACAATACAGCCCACACAGGTGAGAGGAGCCTTAGTTACCATTATGTCTTAAATTGATGTTTTGCATGCAGGATGTTCAGATTAAATGCTCTAACTTCAGCATTGTTTTATGTTGTGTGTGTTGTCTAGGATGTCGTGGGCCAGAGGCCTCTTCGTAGGCAGAGTGGATGAGCGAAAGACAGCATGGGGAGAGCGCAATGGCAAAAAGAGGAAGGAAAGCTCGTCACTGTGCAACCCACACTACATGAGCTGTCTCAGGGACCCTGAGGACCTGGAGCTGCCTAATGCGGCCCCCCAGCATTACCATTGCGGCGGAGCAGGCACCAGTGGAGGCAGCTTTGGCCTGCGCTGCGGCTGGCAGGAGGACCACTACGGGAAGAGGCTGGGCGGCGGGGATCTGGGTCTAAAGGCTGTGGACCTGGGTTTTGAAGACGGTGAGCTGAAGGGCAGGAAAGAGGAGGATTTAGAAGAGGGCAGCTGCAAGACGATGACCACGGCAGACTGCTGGATGCGGGTCATGTGGGTTTTCCAGTCCAAGAAATTTCAATCCACCAAGCTGGAGCGTCTGTACCAGCGCTACTTCTTCAGGCTCAACCAGAGTTCTCTGACAATGCTGATGGGAGTGCTGGTGGTGGTGTGTGGGGTCATGCTGGCCTTTCACTGCATCCACACGATCCCCGACGTGGCCTATGTCTCTGTACTCTCTGTGGCTATGGCCCTCTTCCTGGCCATGATGGTGGTGTGCAACCGCAACGGCTTCCACCAGGACTATATGTGGATTGTGAGCTATCTGGTGATCGGGATGTTGATTGTAGTGGAGGTTTTTGGGGTGCTGATGGTGTACCCCTCGAGTGCCACAGAGGGCATCTGGTGGACCGTCTTCTTTATCTACATCATCTACACGCTGCTGCCGGTCAGAATGAGAGCTGCTGTGGTCAGTGGAGTTGTGCTGTCCACCATACACGTAGTGACCGCCTGGCAGCTCAACCAAGAGTACCAGTTCATTTTCAAACAGGTAAGTGATAAATAATACAGAACAACAAACCCTGTCTGAGAAAGAAATGGAGGGAGATATTAGCTCCTGTCGCTTAGTTTGTGTGCATGATATGAATAATCTAGTCACATTTCAAGCAAATGTTTGCAGGAGGTCTATCTGAGTTTAAATGTTTCTTACTTATTTCTGTTTTGAGCTGTCGAAACTGTCGGAAATTATGGTGGACATTTTTACAAATTTCTGACTTTTTATAGACAAAACAACTAATCGATTAATCAAGTAAATAAACAATACGGGGTGCACGGGGCTCATCATGGAGGCTTAGTCCTTATCGCGGCGGGTTCAATTCCAAACAGCAGCCCTATGCTGCATGTCCTCCCCCCTCTCTCTCTCTCTACTCTCTCTCTCTTTCTCTCTCTCTTTTCTCTCTCTTACCCTTACAGTGATATTGTACATTATGTACTGGACATTCAGTTGACAAGTTGAATTTACTGATAGAATAATACGCAAAGACATACAAGTTATACAAGATTTTGCAAAATAATTAATGCACTTTTAGTCTTAACACTTTTTTTTAAAGGATAGATTAGTCTGTCAGAATAAAATACTGTTCAGTATGTTCTTACTGCTTACTTCTTAAAGCAGTTTCATTGTAAGTGGTAGGGGACAAAGTTAATCAGAGGGTCCAGCAGTCTGCGTTAGAAAATTCAAGTATAAATCTTTCAATGTTACGGTGAGACAGAAAAAATGTGACTATCTTTTAATAGTTGTAGCGACACGTATTACATTCACAAATTAAACCTGACACCGTTGTAACTCAACGTTCTCCTTTTGTAAAATGTAATTCTTGATATGTCCTTTTGGATGCTAGCTCCACATTTATATTCATGAGAAAACAAGACACATTTCTCAGACTCGTGCTAGTCAGGGCCCACTATTATCACCATTCAATTGAGCACAATGTTGTTACTGTATTCACAAGTGGAAACGCCCTACTTTCTCTTCCCATCAATATAGGACAAACATTGTACAGACTCCTCAACCACTTTTCCATGTCAAAGGTGCCGTACTAAAAGTAGATGGTGCTGTAGATCTCGGCAGCGTTTCAAATGAGATTTTTAATGAGCCTATGTTTTGTGCTGTAGGGCAGCTATTGGCAACTCTGTTGGGGTTTGTGGAAGGTCATCTGGGTTGAATGAGCCCGTTTAGCTGCATTGTGGAGGAATATCATGATAATGTAGCATGGTGCCATTCAGGCCGCAATTCCCTAAAACAAGGAGGCTATTGTAGTAAAATGAAACAGGGTGGGGTGGGATACTCGGATTGTGCAATGAATTTGATGGAAAACAGGATGATTACTTCTTCGTATTGGAGGAAAATTAGACTGATACACATTGGAAATATTTATTCATTATGTGTGTCTGTTAGTTCTTTTTGTATGATACATTGTGTCAGAGAATTAATTGTACTTGATTCAAAAAATATTCAGAAATCAGCTAAACCACCTAAGCAAAAGTAATGAGCCATTATTTTCATTTACAACTAATCCTTCAAATATTTTTGCAATTAATTGATTATTTGATTATTCCATGTCAGAAAATTGTTAAAAAAGAAAATAAAAGGAAAGTTCCCAATTCCTTGTTTTGTCCAAACAACAGACAAAAACCCTGAACTGTTAAATTTGCATAAAAGGAGCAAACCTTCATATTTAGAAGCTGGAACCAGCAATTTCTGAGCATTTTTACTAGACAGACGACTTCAACAATTTTTAAACTTAAAATGTATTTTTTTAACTGCCCAGTTCATTGATACAATTGGCCATTTTTACATAAGACACAGTGGGAAACACACAGGTGTAAATTATAAAATGAATGATAGTTTAATTCCATTTATCTGCTTCAGTTTCAGGGTCCTGGTGTTGTACATGTTGGCTCACAGTCACGCTGTCATGGCTTACTGGGACAACTATATGGAACTTAACTATCGTTACACTTGTGCTTTCATAATATGACAACTGTGACTATGAAAAAAGGCTACGATTAAGGTTTTATTTTACGTACGTATGCCACACTATTCCTGCCATTTAATTAGGACCATATCAACCTACCACAAAGAGCTGGTGTTGTGTAGTGTAATCGTAAGATTGGCGGTTCGATCCCTCCTCCTCCTCCTGTCCACATGTTGTAGTGTCCTTGGGTAAGACACTGTACCCTGAGGTGCATAAACATTTTATTTTTCCCTATATGAAGGGTTAAATACAATGGATCCTGGCATGGAACAGCTCCAAAAACACATATTGGTTGAACTCTGCAGAGGCATGTTATTGGTTTTCTCTAACAACTATCGCGATTAAGCAACCAGATGAATGTGGAGCCACTCTGAATAAGGCAATATTGACATAACTCCACTGGTCCAGTAAGCTTGTGTGTTAAGTGCCCATGCCCCAGACCAGACAGGGTGACTACAGGCACATTGGTCTGTTGCCTCTATGTACTCCAGCCCCGGTTGGTTGCATTGGTCCTCTGATGATGGACTGCTGCCCTGCCTGAGGGCTTGGACCCCCAACACACTACGTTCCACTTCTCTGAACAATCAATGATGGGACATGGGCCTCGCAATGTTTGACTAGAGGGTTGCTCTCGCTCTCTCTCTCTCTCTCTCTCTCGCTCTCTCTCTCTCCTGGAATCATAGCCTTTTAATAGAGATGGAGGAAAGGGCATCAGGTTTGCTTGGGGTCGTTTAATGCTGTTATCAACCATATTCTACTCATCCGTACATAAATCTTTTTAAATGAGGAGGAATTTCAGGGTGATTTCTTTGTTTTTTACTCTCAAAAAAAGAGCAAAACAGTGTGTCATTTAGTCAGCTCTTGGTCTCAACAGGTGTCTCTCAATGTGGCTTCAAGCTACTCACAGCTTTCTGAATACAGAAGGACTCAGTTCAGTCTGTCACACCCTCTGGATCACACGTGTAAACTAATCACACAAACTCTGTGGTTTTTGGCGTCACATGGCCAGACTCTCTGATCTGGGAAAGCTGGTCTCTTCTTCTGGGACCTCATCATCCTCCGGCCCTCTCTGTGTCCCAGCCTTGTTTTTCCCTTATTTGTATTTTCCCTGCGGAGACATTTGCGCAGGATCAGAGCTGAGAAGATGTGAGACCGATGATGGCAAGGACAAAAGGGGCCTTTGTGAGGGACCTCCACGAAGAAGAAGGGGAGGTCCAGGGGTGGGGGTGGTGGTGGGGATTGTGGAAGTTACAGTGGTGACAAGGGGATGACCGTGGATGGAGAGTGTGAAATAATGCTAGGCTGATGCACCCGACTGTAAAAGAGCTGCCAGTCTCTTCTCTCGTTTTTCTCCCTCCACTTTTCCCTTTCTTTTACTCTGAGTCATAATTCCACTCTCATAAAATCCCCCTCAGATGGAGTGGCCTTTTATTTCACAACGGGCTGAGATTGAGCTCACACTACTCATGGGGATTGTTTCCATAGATCTCCATGTTTCACCGCTCTGCTCTGAAGGTTCCTCCTCTGAGAGATGTACGGTATAAATGCTCTCAGGAAGAAGCAGGTTACACTGCTGCTGTTCACTTGAAGTGCCTCTACTTTCCTACAGGAACACATCTCAGAGGGACCTCATTCACTCTTACAGGTGGCGTCTGGTTAAAATGAGAGGTTTTGACTCAGACATGAATAACTAGGGCCATACTTGAATCCTGACCTTCATGTCCTCAGTGGTAGCTACCTCCTTGAATTCACACCCCTAGTGGAGAAATATCGAACACTCATGGTTAGCTTGTTGCATAACAAGAATTTTATTTATTTATTTATTTTTCAGTCAATCGGCTTTCAACTCTTTGTTTGTTGATTTTTTTTTGGGACTTTTATTTTCTTGTCTCGGACTCAGAGCTGCTCAGACTTGGACTCAATTTAAGTGGTCCTACAAGTAACATATTAGTGCTCCCCTTATAGAAAATACATGAACATGAACCTTTCCTTTACTCTCTTTGGTCCTTGCCTCCAATTTTCAAACAGTTTGTCTTCGTGAAATGAGGAAGTTGTGATAAATGATCAAGATTAATTCCTTGGTCCTCTAATTGCAAAGGAGAATTTCAGTTCAATCCCCACTAGAAATCTACTCTATTTAGAGCCACGTCTTATGTTAACACTAATCAGTGCAATCTTACTTTAGAACAGTTCAAACAACTTCACCTGTTTTCACTTCCAATGCTCATAATACATTTTTTTTAACTGAATTACTGTAGTAGTGAGTGAAGTTTCTGGAAACTCTGTATATATATTTTGTTGGGTTGACGTCCCTCCGGCGCTGCAACTTGGCCACAGAAGGGTCAATTCATTATTTCCTCGTCTTCACTTATGCTTACTGGGATTTTGCACGCTTCATCTCTTTAACTGCATTTGGTTTAAAAAGTCTGCTGCAGTCTGCTCTGACAGCTGACGTTTTACTTCCAAGTTTTGACAGTTGGCTGATTACCAGCCGCCTTGTGATTGGAAGAAGCTACTAAATTCCTAATATTATGTTTATGACGTCAATGTTTGTTGTCGTGTTGGGTTTTCTGACATTTCTCGTTTTCTCCAAATTTAAAAGAGCCCTCAGTAGAAAACACCCTCCTGCATTGGTCTACTATTGTCCAGTCACCTGAGCCATTAGTTCACCTCACGGCGCTGAGCAATCAGACTGTGGCTGGATGTCGGATATGTTCGAGTCAGTGCACGCGCGCACACATCACATGGTCCAAAACAGATTCATTTGGCCCTTGGAGTGCCTCCCTGTGAGAGACCACCTGTCCCTTGTGTTTTTGTTAGTCGCTCTCTCTCGAGGGTAGATGAGGCAACAGCTAACTTTGACATGATTGGCATTCAGTGCAGTTCTAAGAAGTTTTGCTTTGATATATATATTCCATAACTTAAGTATAAACAGCTGTGCATCCATACGCCTATATATATGTCTTATGGGGGATTATGTGACTTACTATGCCATTGTTTAGTTCTAAGAATT